CATCAACAGGTGTGTACTCCGCAGTGTTGTGTTTGACTCGTTTGCAATCTCCAGATTGTGTTGGTTTTTGTTTTTAGTTTTTCTCTATATTTTGGTCTCTAGGCTAATCTGGAGCGGAAACTGACAGATGAGCAGAAGGCATTGAAGAAGACAAAGAAGATCGCTGAGGACACTTCTCTTGCTGTGAATGTGGCTGTGTACAGGTAACTAAAATTGTTATTTTCCTCAGATTATTTCACATTATTGTGCATCTGACTGCTTCTATGTTAATTTGCTAATGGTATACCTTAACCAGTTTGACTATATATGTATATCTTCCTTTTACAACATAGGTTTTAGGATCAAATCATTGCTACATCCCGCTAAGAAATTCAAAGTTGAGATGAACGCAAAGCAGCTTCAAATGACTGGTGTCATCTTGTTACATAAAAATATCAATCTCGTCGTTGTTGAAGGCGGTAAGTGCATCTGAATTTTTTGAATTTGTTTTTGGTTGGAAAAGTTTTTTTAGGACCCAAGCAGCAAAAGTTCTACAAAAACCTCATGTTGAATAGGATAAAATGGGAGGATGAGGTGATTGGTCAGAAAAAAGATGCAGATAAAGACGCTCCTGGGGAAAGGAACCAGTGTCAATTGGTAAGGAAATCTACAAGTTTCATTGCCATTTATACCTGCAGTGGAGTTACCCAAGATTACCTCCCTCCCCAAATGTGTTGCCTGTTTAGATATGGGAAGGTCAAGTCAAACGGCGTAACTTCCGCGATTTCAACGTTGTTACAGCTACTATAGAAAAACAGGTCAGCTTTACCGCCGTTTTAACCTTTACCACTAGTTCAACCAAGTTAGCCATATTACGAACTTTTACCATCAGTTTGGTGTATAGTTCTTGCGTTGACTACCGCTCATATGATTTTATAGGCACGTGATCTACTGGAGAAGCACAATGTTGCCCATTATTGGGACGTTGCTTACAGTACAACAGTGCTTTTGGATGGTCAAGATCCTACTCCCATATGAGC